AGCCCTGAGTCTTTTTCTAACGTCCCGGCATTTGGTGCTGAAAGCATAAGAAAGGAGCATAATGAGAGTGATTGGATTTGTTTAGACAAATAAAATGCATGAAACACATTACGGAGATCATTAAGGATGTGCCAATACATCTAAAGTGGTTTTCTGCAGGCTGCTAAGAAAGGAAACTAGTTTTGAGGGTGTTAATGATCGTTACTTCCTGATTGTTATCAAACCACACAAAAGGGAAAAAAAAACACAAGTTGCACAAAGCCTGACAGAACCATTTTCTGTGCAATTAAAAAAAATATATAAAAACACACAAAAGGACCAAACTGATGAGTTTGGTATTAAGTGTGTAACATGAGTCATCTTGACTTTTTTTTACATTTATGTGCAAAGTAGCTAAACTTATCTTGACATCTGTCCCAAAAGTTTTATATATATTTATATATATGCATACAGCGTGTGCAGATAAGGACATGAGCTAATTAGCTAGACCTATTTTGTTCTTTGTTTGAGGCTGTAAACGTGTTCAGTTCTTCTGAAAACTGGCATTGTTGAATGGGTGTGTATGTGACTTCATGGGCTTCTGCAGCCGGCCTCAAGTGCACACTCTGGGAACTGCATGTTTTTTGCACGGCCACATTGACTTGATTTTTTCAACAGCGCTTGTTGGCGTTGCTAACATCCCTGTAAGAGAGATACAGATACATACATTATACACACATATCAGCATTATTGTTCCACACTCTGTAGAAGAGAGATAGAGGATAGAAATGTTGAATTTGAGTCACTGATCACACTCCGACACACGCTTAGGTCTAAATATTGTTAAACAGCCTCAGTGAGTCACTGCAGTCTGAGCAGGTCTGCTTCTGAAGCAGAGAACCTCCAAGTGTTTAAGAGCAGCTGACTCACTCGTATATCTGAGGGGCAAAGACGGAGTTTTCTTCTGCATGAGGGTCTGATGTAGTTTGATGGCTGATTTACACTGAACGCATCACTCAGTTAACTTCTGTCTGCATCAGCTACTTCATATCCTCCAGTGCTGCTGCTGCTGCTGCTGCTGCTGCGGATCTGTCCCGCTCTCATCCTGTGCAGGACTCTCCCATGTCTCTGATGTGAAGTGACAGAAATGTGGTAAATCACTCTGATGATATGCACAGTAAAGTGTGTAAGTTTACAGTTTATAGTTTGATCACGTTTTGTTAATATTGATGCAGCAAATCAAGCTCACCTACATTGTTCATTTGAATCAGTTCCTTCATTCTAAGATGGGATTTTACACTCATGCAAATTCAACCAATCCCATATTTATCTCAAAAAAAATTTAAACAGTGGGCAAAGCACCCAAAAAGTAAAACAGAGTTACAGTATTATATAATATGTTGAATCTCCCTGGCCTTGTGAAGTGCAAGTCCAGTGCAGAATTAGTTTTTATATGCAACTTAGTTTAGTCTCACTCAATTCTTTAACATTTTAATTGGAGTCCTGACATGAAATTTAACTGGAGGTGACGTCATGAGGACAAACAGCTCACCTAGCCATAGGATGGATTTATTAAATCGA